GTGCTGTTTGCTGGAAAAGGCCCAGGGACTTGGGGAGGACAGCAGCTTTGGCCCAGTGACGTCTGCCGTGCTCAGGAACCCGGGTGGGCAGGGTGCTGGGGGCAGGGGCAGCTGCCGGTGGGCTCAGCCCTGTGGTGGGCGCGGCCCCGCCACCCTCACCGCCGCTGCTCTCCCCGCGCAGGTCAACATCGGCATCCTGGTCGCCGTGACCAGGGTCATCTCGCAGATCAGCGCCGACAACTACAAGATCCACGGAGACCCCAGCGCCTTCAAGTAAGTGACCTCTGCCCACCAGCGGGGCTGCAGCTGCTCTGCCACTCCAGGGCCATCACCTGAGCCCCAGGCTGGACCGGGCCCCCCCGCCTCGAGCTCAGGGGCGACTTGGGCGTCACGACCTCCCCTGGCTCCGTGTCCCCACCTCCTGCAATGCGGGACGGGGCCCTTGAGCGGCCTGGGGCCCCGTGCGTGACGAGTGGCTCTGCTGATGTCCCCTGGCCCCCCCCCCCAGGAGAGAGGCAGCTGGGGGTGTGCTGGAGCCAGACTGCCCACCCCCCAGCCACCCCGCCACCTGCTGGGGCCTTGCTCGTTATTTAGCCTTCGACGTCTGGCTGCCCCCACTGTGGAATGGCAGGAGGACAGGGTCCCCCGTGCAGGGCTGCGTGTGGAGGCTGGTCCTAGAGACAGCAGCTCCCCGACGTGCTCAGGCCCCTCTGGGGAGGGGACAGGTGTCTGGGGGTTTCCGCCCACGCGTCCTGCTGCCGTCGGGGGCTCCTGACCTGTACCTGCGGGGGCCCTGCCGGCTGCAGGTGACAGAAAACCCCACCCAGACTGGCGAGAGCAGAAGCAGGGACTGTGAAGTCAGAGGGTGGAGGCCTATGTCACAGGAATGGTCTGCCGGCTCTGTCACCGGGACCCGGTCCCTCCTCCCACCTCTGGTCCCCCGGGGCAGAGGCTGCGGCAGGGGGCGGGGGGGTTCAGCCCACGGGAGAGTCTCTGTCCCACCTGCTCAGACGGAGCCTGAGCCTGGGTGAGGAAGACGAGAAGGAGTTGGAGGACTCAGGCTGGGAGAGAGGGGCGGGCTTCACCTGTCAACCCGGAGCCAAGCCCCCCGGGAGCAGTGGCCAGACCACAGGGACCCACACGGGAGGCAGCTCCTCTCAGGGGACTTGGCGGCTTCCGTGGCGACCGGCCCGGCCCCGGCGGCTGATGTTCTGTCGGCTCTGCCCTGCGGGGCATCTCTCCTGATGAGAAGGCCGAGATGGAAAATAAGTCGGCCGCAGATGGAAGAGATGACAATTCTGTAACAAATTCCAGACGCTGTGAGCCGAGCTGACGGGGGCCCCAGCTGCATGGGCCTCTCAGCCCCTGGAGCCCTCGCAGGGCTCTGCGGGTGGGAAGAGGCTCATGGGGCCGAGAGCCACGTCCCCCACCCTCCGTGCCTGAGACTGGCCGGCCCCGCCCTACCGTGGCCTGGCTGGGAGGGGCCCAGCCCTGCCCCTCTCGAGGCCCTCACCCGGCGTTCGTGGCCAGTCTGTCCCCAGCGAAAGCTTGCTCGGCCCTGTCTGAGCCCCAGCCCCCCACGGGACCCCAGAACACACCTGTGCACCCTCCCTGTTCCACCCCGCTGTCCCCCTGCCCCACCTCCACCCTCCGAGGAAGCAGCCTCATCCACTCCCGTCTCCCCTCCTGGGAGGCGCTGGGTCCGCGGGTGGCACCTTCACACTTCCATCCATTTGTTTGTTCGTTCGTTCGTTTGTTCATTCATTCATTCATTCGTTCGTTCGTTCCAGCGAGGAAACTCACCCGTGAGCAGTGGGTGTGGTGGGTGGGGACTCACACAGGGCAGCCCTGGGCAGCAGAGGGGGCGGCTGCAGTGGGGACTAAAGGTGACTGGCTGCAGCCCCACCTGCCCAGGGCCTCGGCTGGGGCCAGGGCCCCTCTCCTCTGCGTTTGACAAGGAGACACTGGTGGCTCTGGCCGTGTTAACAAGAGTCCTCAGAGAGCTTCCACTTGTTTCCCCAAGATCTTCTCTCATCGCTCTATTTTTAAGAAAAAAACAAACCACCACTTTAAAAGTAGCACATTTTTCTCAGTGCCTGATCCTTTCAAACATGGTCTCTCCATGAACTCAGGACTGTGGCTGAATAATGCATGACACTTTTGTTTCCTAGAGACAGGTGTTTTATTTTTATTGCATTAACGTTATGAGAACACGCTGGCTGCAGCTTCCCTGAGATCCGAAGTGCTGGAGCGGTCCTGGGCTTTGCAGGGAGTTTGCCAGGATCCTGGGCTCCTGATCAGGAAGCTCATTTTGGTCAAGTCTCCCCTCCTCCTGGGAGGCCCTGGGTCCACGTGTGGCACTTTTGTACTTCCATCCATTTGTTCTTCATTCATTCATTCATTCATTCATTCATTCATTCATTCCAGCGACCGTTCCCTGAGGCCCCTGCGTCCCGGCGCTGGGCTGCGCCTTGGGGTTGCAGAGGGGAGAAGACACAGTCCCCACTTTAGGGAACTCACAGTCTGGTGACGGGGACAGACTCACTGCCACCATACCGCGTGATGAGGGGTGAACTGAGGCAGGTTGCGGTTGCTGGCCTGAGCAGCTGGGCCCCCTCAGCCTCTAGACTTTTCTGTGAGGCTCAAACACAGAGGGGCCCCGCGGTGGAAAGCCCCGGTGTTTCAGAGGTCAGGGAGGACGGGACTGTAGCGAATGCAAGAGTGTCGAGTGGACTGGGACATCCCAGGGCCTTGCCACCCCTTCCCGACGTCTCCCAGCTCCCAGAGCTACAGATGCTGTGGGTGTCATGGCCCCTGTGCAGGACGGAGAATGAACACAGAACACAAAAAGACGCACAGACACACACAAAGACGGTTACAAGACTGCAGTGCAGAACGCACCAGTCGTTTTAATTTTATACCCCCAAAATCAAAGTTAGTTCCTTGTACGTGCCCACCCAGGCGTGGCAGCAATAGCCATAAACGTTCCGGAACACGTAGCCTGAGGACACAGATGTCTCCTGACTCAAGGTTTCCAGGCAGTTGCTAGAGGCGCCAGGCATAGATCACAGACCGAGATTAGCAAGGTAGGGCAAGGCCGCCACCGGGGGCATTTTTCCTCCCCAGTTGCTCTTAGGCCGATCCCCTGCGGCTGTGCATGGCTTAGGTCGCCCCTCCCTTGAGGGGTCTTACCGGTCATTGACTAACCACCCATCTTATGGGGCTAACCAGCAATCAAAGGAGCAATGTGTTTATCGTGTGGCCTCCGGGCCTCCATGAATCGAGGGGCTGGGCAGCTCTCCCCTCAATGCAGAGACTCAGGTCTGTTGTCATGCCTCTGGGCAGCAACCGTGTTTGTCACAAGGACCTTGTCCAGAACACATCACTTTCAAACGCTCTGGGCAGAACACATACGTTACTCGCTAAATTTAATCCTTAAACTGGGAAAATATATGTCAGTCCCCTACAGATGGGGTCCCTTGCAGCTTCCGTCCCCCCGAATCCCGCCCCTCCTGCCTGCGTCCTCCCCCTTGTCTTTGCGAACACTCAGACAAAGTCTGCAGGCCTGGGCGGGACTCTCCTCCCGTCCCGGACCGGCTGGGCTGGCGCTCAGCGCTGCAGGGAACTGAGCCTTCCCCAGAGCCCTCTCCTGCTGCCAGCCACGAGGGGACCAAGCTGGGGGAACCTGAGGCTCGCGGCAGGTAAATGCCTCACCTGAGGTGACCTATACCCCAGGTCTCAACCCTGCAGGGGCTTGGTCCGCCCCACCCAGAGGCCTGTCCGTGAGCCCACGCCGGCCCACCCACCGCCCCGAGTGACCGCAGCCATTTCTCTCCCAGGCTGACGGCGAAGGCGGTGGCCGTGCTGCTGCCTATCCTGGGCACCTCGTGGGTCTTTGGCGTCCTCGCCGTCAACGACCGGGCCCTGGTCTTCCAGTACCTGTTTGCCACACTCAACTCCTTGCAGGTGAGACCCGCCGGCCGGCCCTGCAAGGGAGGTGTGCACAGCAGGTTGCCGCGGAGGCAGGAGGGGGTGTAGGCTCTGTCCCCGTCACACACCTCATGAGCCCTTGGCGTGGGGCACCCCCAGACCCGAGGACGGGCACCCTCAGACCCAAGGACGGGGACCCCAAGACCAGAGGACGGGGGACCCCAGACCCGAGGACGGGTGCCCCTAGACCCGAGGACGGGGACCCCAGACCCGAGGACGGGTGCCCCCAGACCCGAGGACGGGGACTCCAAGACCCGAGGACGGGTGCCCCCAGACCCGAGGACGGGGACCCCAGACCTGAGGATGGGTGCCCCCAGACCCAAGGAGGGCACCCCCAGACCAAGGACGGGCACCCCCAGACCTGAGGGGTGCCCCACTGCAGCTGCTGCCTGGGGTCTGGCTTAGACCCAGGGTCCGAGATGCCTTCCCTCCCGTGGACTTGGGTCACGGGATCCGGTCACAGCGAGTCCCCGACAGCCAGCCCTGCCAGGGCCACTCGCAGGGCCCAAGGCTGGGAAGCGCCTCCGAAAAGGGCCTGTACGACGTCCAAACGGCTCTAACCCCGTGTTTCCTCCCCTCCTCCCCAGGGACTGTTCATCTTCCTCTTCCACTGTCTCCTGAATTCAGAGGTATGTCCCCCCCCCACGTCCTGCCAGCGCGGAGCGGGGCGTCATCCTGAAGGGGTCCAGTGCGCCCTGCAGGCTGGCGTGTGGGGACAAAGTCCCCGCTGGGCCTGGCCCGTGACAGCCCTCAGCAGCCCCTCCTCTCCCACCCCGGTTGCTAGGCGACGTGCCAGCATCCTGTCTCTGCTGATGTCGTCACGGCAGGCACCGCCCCCTGCGCGGGGACTGGGGAGGCAGGGCGGGCGGGGAGCCGAGCTGGGGGAGGGGTGTCTGGGGAGTTGGGGAGAGCAGGGTGCAGACGTGTTCCCGCTGGTCCTCCCGGGGCCCGGGGAGGCTGCTGGGCTGTGGGGAGGAGGACTTCTGCCTGCGGGAGCTGGCGGAGGACTTTTAGGGTGCCGGGGCGGCACGAGGGGGGCCACTGCACTGTCATGGACACGGCTGGGGGGGCTCTCTGGACGCAGCCCTGCCCCTCGGGGCCCACAGTCCCATGGGGGGACGTCCGCCTTGCACCATGGGCTTGGCACCCTGCCCGTTGTCACTCAAGGCCCTGCAGGCCGTGGCTTGGGGGGGGCAGCCTCTGGGATGGTGGCCCCGCCCCGCCTTGCCTCGCCTGGGCATGCTAAGTGGAGACGCCAGTTTGCAGGGACAGGATAGGCCGGCGGGGTGGGGGGGCAGTGGGACCGAGAGTGTTGCTGGGGAGGACGGTGCCCGTGTCGGAAGTGTCACGTGGCTGCAGGGCCCAGGGACTGAGTCCCGCTGCGGGCGGCAGCCTCGACACGCAGACGCCGCGCCACGCGTGCTGCTTGGGTGTGTTGGGTCTCCGCCTCACGCTCTGCCCGAGTCGGCCCTGGCTGAGCGGGAGAGCCACAGAGGCAGCTGTCCGTTGGGAATGGGGGCGTGGCCACGCTGCCAGCAGCCACACGCGGTGGTGCTTGCGAGCTACCGCCAGCCTCAACTCTGACGGTTTCAGACTGCCGCCCCGGGTCCCTTCAGCCCAGGATTCAGAGACCGTTCAGAAACGAGCTGCCGGTTTTTGGTCGTTCCGTTCTTTCTTTGAGACAGAGTCTCCCTTTCTTGCCCAGGCTGGGCCAGTGAGTGCGCGTGCGTCAGCTAGGCTCACAGCAACCTCAGAGTCGCTCGGCTCACGGCAATTCCTGCTGCCTCAGCCGTCCCGAGGAGCTGGACTACAGGCATGTGCGACCATGCCTGCTGAGTTGTCCATGGCCGGGGGCGGGCCGGCCCGCGCCCGCCGGGCCCTTTGTTGGTGTTGGCCGCGGGGCCGGGGGGTTGGTGCTGGGGTGCGCGGGGCGGCCGCGGAGGGCGGTATGATATTAGGTGCCAATGTAATTTCTTTCTTATTTTTGTAGAGACAGGCGGCGCTCCGTTGCTCAGCTGGTTTCTGAACTGCCAACCTTTGGATGCCGCCTGCCCAGCCTCCAAGAGTGCTAGGTATTAGCAGCGCGTGGCCATCCGCGCCAGCCTGGGTTTCGGTCTTTCGAGCGCTCTGAATTGCCTGCTACGAAACCTCCTTCCCGGCGCCCGAAGGTGAGAGCCGCTTCAAGACAAAACAAGTCCTGGTCCTGAGAGCAGCTGGCGACCGCAGCCACGAAAGCCTGCCACTCGGACATCCGGAGGCCTGGGGGCTCGTCCTGTCGTGAGCCCTCCTCCGCCTGCCGCGGTGACCCTGCTGGCAAAGCCCCCCCCAGCCCCTCGGCCCCAGGCGCTCACTCCTGGGGGTGTACAGAGGGAGGCTGCCGGAGCTGCTTCCGGCTCTCTGACCTCGTGTGGCCTCTGCCTCCCGAGGAAGCCCTGGCGCTAGTCAGCCTCCTCCCCCAGAGCCCCAGCCCCGCGGGGTGGCGCTGGCAGCAAGGGCGGGGCAGCTCGGTCGCAGATTCTCGTCCCAGTGCCTCCGGCCGGATCGAGCTGCACAGCCTCTGCTCGCGGCCCAGTTCCCAGTCCTGGACTTGCGTTGAGTCTGGGGGACGGAGGCTGACAGTCAGCCTCCGGCCCAAGCAGCAGGGCCTGGGCACAACGCCAGGCGGCCCGTGTCCTGGAGCTGCGTCCCGTGACGCGCTGCCCAGCGGCGAGGACCAGCTCCGTGCTCAGCCTCAGCACCCATCCTTTTTTTTGTTGATTTTACTTGATGGTTTTGAGACAGAGCCTCACCTTCGATTGCCGGATAGAGAATGCCGTGAGCGTCAGGCCGTCAGGCTACAGCAACCTCAGATCCTGGCTCAGGCGGAGTCCTCCTGCCTCAGCCTCCCGAGTAGCTGGGACTACAGGCATTGCGCCACCTGCCTGGTAATTTTCTCCGTATACCGATATTAGGGCCAAGTTAATTTCTTCTGCTTCATAGTAGAGACGCCTGTGGGGCTCGCTCTGCGTCAGGCTGGTTTGTAAAGCTCCTGACCTGTGAGCAATTCTGTGCACCTCCGGCGTCCAGAAGCGTAGCATGACACGCAGATGTGGAGCCACTGCGCCAGGGCCTTTCGTTACCTATCAGTTAGTTGGAATTAATTTCGTTTCTATGAGGAGAGAGAAGGGCGGTTGCGGGCGCATCGCTGGTCTCGAGACTGCCTGAGCTTGAGCAATGCGCCCCGCTGCCTGCCAGAGCTGAGATACAGGCTTGAGCCACTTTGGCCCAGTTTGCGCTTTGCCCCAACGGGGGGACCCCCCCTTACCTCAGGCCCAGAGCTCTCTGCACTTACGTGGGGTTCGAGTTTTCCTCCTGGGGCAGGGTCTCCACTCCTCACCCCCTGTGCTCCGCAGGTGAACGGGACCCGGCCGGGCATGGCCCCCACCAAGCTCAGCCCCTGGGACAAGAGCAGCCACTCCGCCCACCGCGTGGACCTGTCTGCGGTGTGAGCCGCGGGCCGAGCACCAGCCAGGCCTGCCACTCGCACGGCCCCTCCCTGGCAGGACAAAATCGCACCCGCCTCCCCCCGGCCCCCTCTCCTCACTGCCGTCTGGACGCGGGGTGGTGGCCCCGAGCCGGCGTCCTCACCTGCACCTCCGTGTGAGCCGGCCCAGGCCAGCGTGGGCAGCGTGGCCCCCCCCGCGGGCTGTGAGACTGCAGTGACTGCCCTCTGGGGTCCCGGGCTGCGCAGTGGCCGCGTGACGCTGTGCATGAGCCTCCCCAGGACCCAGCGGGGCATGAGCTCTGGGAGGGGAAGCTCTGCCTCGGCCCCTTCGTGGGGACTGGGGGCCACAGAGGTGGTTAAGGTCCCCAGGCAGGGTCCCCTGGAGGGCCAGGTGCAGGCAGCTGGGGGCGAGCGGGGCGAGTGGGGAGGAGCCTCCCAATTTGCAGGGTTGACCCAACAAGAAGCCGGTGCCAGGGATGAGCGTGTCTGTCCACGGGGACGCGGCTATGTGGGCCGGCCTTGGTGCCGGGTGCCAGCTGGGGCATGACCGGGGTCAGGGAGAGCTGCAGGCCGCAGTCACTGGCGGTCCCCATGGGTGTGACATGGGGTGACCAGCACCTGTGTGAGGAACCAGGGGGGACCCCGGCCAGCAGCCTGGGCTCCGAGGCCACCTGGGGATGCCACTGCCTTGGGGGCTTCTCAGCTCCCCCTCATGAGTTTTGACTGGGGCCCAAGGCCACCTGG